TGTATACAATACGTTACGAAACGATGTCTTTTAGTCACTCGACGTGTTGTCCAACTCGGCTTTGCCTCGTTGGACAATTTTCACGTCGCGTGCCTAAAAGACGCTCATTTCGTAACTTATTGTATAAATAGCTATTTCCTTACCAAACAAAATTAACGTATTTCAGGAATTTCAATTTTTTCTTGTAGAAATGTACGAAAAACACGTTCTCTTTCCGCCCCATGGCAACTTCCGAATATCTTGAAAACTAGTAGTCAGATTCATCATTCATCAAATACCTCTTAAACAAGGTACCACTCGATCCAGTTTCCCTATTCAACTTTTGAGGGTACAACTCATCCCGGTAAGGGAAGGAAAATTTTGAAATAGCCAAAAACTGTCCTCCTTAAAAACAAAAGCGACGTGTTTCGGCGTTTTTTTAATTTCCTGATAATTTTCGAGAAAATCCAGGTGGATCCTTTTCAATTTTGCACCCTGTATATTAGTCTGTAATCTTTTAATGTAGGTAACAGAAAACGTTTTAGTTTTTTTTTGAAGAAGTTTAATCATTATTTTGAAGCCTAACTTGCTTTTCGGAAAGGAACTATAATATAAAATCTATGTAGGAACTTTTTATGAAGCAAGAACAAGAAATAGCAAGAGTCTTGCAGCAAGAACAAGAAATAGCCGAGCAAGACAAGATTTCTTACGACCTGCAATACTCTATTAGGCCAAAACACTGAATTTGAGCTAACATGTAACTACCTCTTGATGGATAGAATGTATCTTATTTAACACATAGTCGATAATCTTTTGGTAGGTGTTATTACTCTATATTACCAATAAAATAGTCTATCCAACTCAATAATTTCATCGTTATATTCGTAATACGTTTTTGCTTCAAGTTTTACTGAAAGACATTTGATCAGGCCAATCATTTCTTAAACAACATTTTACTGCAACAAGTTCTAGGGCCCGGATTCCGGACTCGCGATTCGATAGTATCTTCACTATCGTGTATCTATTCTATATGGACGATACTATCGAATCGTGGGTTAGGAATCCGGGCACTGGATCTGCATTAGTAGGTGGTTTGTGTTTTGTTTATAACAAGTAGGTATATCATTGGATTTTTCATCTGAAGCCATTATGATTGTTGTAACTTGAAAATCATCTAAAAAATCTGTTTTTTTTTTTCGGTATTTGGCGGTGTGGTAAAGTACCTACTATCTGAAATAAACATATCTTTTTCAGGATACTTTAGGGAAAAATCAAATCTCAATAATCTTATTATAAATCTTTGCAATCTCGGATATAAAGAGTCAGTTGCCTTATTTACTATTTTCAAGAGGTTTATGGTCAGTAATAGCATTAAATGGACGACCAATAAAGATAGGTACCTACCTAAGGAAAATCTTCACAGCCCAAAACTATACACTCAATCAGTCTTCCTCTATTTGTTCATAATTTCTCTGAGCAAGATTCAGTGAGAAAGACCAATATGGAATAAGGTGAGGGATGCTTTTGACTAATGTAGCCACTTTAATAGGCCCCATGCATCAAATTTTTTTATTGCTGATTTCGATAGTCCATGAAAAATAAGTCAACACGTGTTTTTTCTTTTTCTTGTTAGTCAAAAATTGACGGAGATACAACGCTTTGAAATGTCTTTCCGACGTCATAACTTAGGTATAATACGTTGTGAGTTGTGACGTCGCACATGCTCAGTATATCTATATATAAAAAACTTAATATTTGTATAACTTCCGGAATAATCATTTTTGGGCGAAATAAAAAAAAAGTAACGTTTTTTTTTCGATTTCCTACAGTTTGCAATAAACAATAATCAATTTAATTTTCCATGCAAGTAGCCTATTAAATTTTTCTGCCCCAGTCTGGCCCCCCCTATTTTTTTCTGGCCCAGTCTGGCCCCCCCTAACATAAAACCCTGGCGTCGCCACTGGCACCTGCCAAAAGGTGTTATAAAAGAACATAAGTCCGAACTATCTTTCATCTAATGGTATCTGCCAAAATCCACATGAAGCATCTACATTGCACTGAAAACCATTTGGCCTGGCCAATTAGGAAAAATATAGTAGGTAGATATCAATGGTAGGCAGTTCAAGTCTTTATCATATGATATATTTGTTTAGAGGTCTTGGGTACCCACATAAACGAACTGACCCCTCTTTCTTCTCGATTACAATAAGCGGGAATGCGCTTCCGTTTTTTTTTTTTTTAAATTTCGTAACTATTCCGTATTTTCCTATTCAGGCATTTAATCAATATAGCCTTCTTTAGTGTTTCGTGCAATGCCAGCAAAGGAAGTTTGCGGCATCTGGCAATATTTGGTTCATAGTTCATTTATAATTTGAAAGTCCAATTTTACATCGATTTTAAATGCAACCTATACATTTGACATGAAATTCTTCCAATATAGCTATTTATGTACCAAGGGGATTATGTAGATTATAATGCCCGAAGGCGAAACTAGCCCGAGGGCCTATGGCCCGAGGGATATATTTCGCCTGAAGGGCATTATAATCTTGAAATCCCCGTGGTGCATACAATGCTTTATTTTCTACTCAACACAATGTTTTTTCATCAATTTGTTATTAACAAAATCAGTTAAACTTGTGTGACAGAATATTGTTTTGTATTTTGACATGTACCTGTACCTGTGACCTGTACCTGTACCTGCGACCTGTACATAGAAACGAAATAAATTAATATATCTATAAACATCTCATAAGGCAAGGCAACGATGGTGGTCCTGTGGGTTAACACGCTGGACTACATGGGAAACATTGATGGTAGACCGGGTTCGAATCCTGGCTAGACCGAAAATTATTTTCGGTCAGACATTTAGTGGCTGCCTAGGGTAAAGTGCAAATTAATAGAACAACAACAACAAAAACACCTTAAGGTATTATAAGCGGGCGTTATAGATCATAACGCCCGCAAAAGCGGGCGTTATGGATCAGGTTGTTATAGGTGTGTTAACGCATTTCGTTTCCTAGGTATTATGGATCTATAATAGTAAAGTAGAAAATAAACGTCTTTATACCTGAGCAGTATTCCGTGAAACATTGATGAGTTTATAATAAAAAAAAGGTCCATGCTGATTGCCTCTCGAAACTTGTATTCTGAGCTGAGCAAACCAAAAAAAAATAATAAAAAACTAAATTCATAATCTATATATATAAAAATTAATGCCACTTTTCGTTGTAATTTTATAACTCAAGAACGGGCTCACCTAGCCAAACCAAATGTCTAGGCTTTGTTCGGACTATTTATTAGATGGTTTATGTGAAGTTTGCACAAAATCGGTCGAGCGGTTCTTCATTTATCACATTTTTTGTAATAAATGAATTATTCAATAAATGGAGGATCATTTTGTTATCATTATCTATATACAGGGTGTCCCACGAGGTTCCTCCCAAATGATCATTTCGGAACGCATCATCGTATGTTCCACTGTATAATTTTCTGTCATATCCTTTAACAAAGCCTTAACAAATATGGCATAGCTGATTTTGTAATTTAATTTTTTAACGGAAAATACCATAATATACTATGAGTTACATTTAAGATTCGAAAGTTGACGTCACCTGACCGAAATTGAAGCAAAAATGGTAAAATTGGATGACAATTGTAGAAGCGACACAGAAAGTTACCCAGATCCTCAAAATTTCAATTATATTGGATGACGCGTTCCGAAGTTATCACCTGGGAGAAACGTCGTGGGACACCCTGTATATAAAAATTAATGCCACTTTTCGTTGTAATTTTATAACTCAAGAACGGGCTCACCTACCCAAACCAAATGTTTAGGCTTTGTTCGGACTATTTATTAGATGGTTTATGTGAAGTTTGCACAAAATCGGTCGAGCGGTTCTTCATTTATCACATTTTTTGTAATAAATGAATTATTCAATAAATGGAGGATCATTTTGTTATCATTATTATCTATATATACAAAACACAGTTGTGTTGGTTCTAGCACTTATAACTCGAGAACAGCTGGACTGATTTTTATGATTTTTGCTTTATTGGATTTGTCTTTGTCCATCCTAACATATTAAATCGAAAAAATCCAAAAAAAAAGACAAAAAACAAAATTACGTATTTTACTTATTTATGAAAAAAATTCACTAAGCATACGGCGCCATCTCTTATAACCGATACCAAGTTTACCGCCGCAATTTCATTGCAAACCATTTTGACCATTTTGTATACGGCGCTATCACTGATACCTAGAACGAAGCTCGTCGTTGCGCGGTAATTTAATTGCAGATACCGTAGAACAATGCTACTCAGGAACTGGAGCTATTCCGAACAGAACTATTCCACTATTCCGATCAGATAGAGTGGTGCAGAAAGAGTAGATCAGATAGAATAGTGCAGATAGAGTAGAACAGATGGAGTAGTGCAGTGCAGATAGAGTGAAACAGGGCTGCGCTGGAGATTTTTTTGTTTTCTTTACATTCAATGAACATTCCTGTGCCTGAGTTTATTTATTTGATGGTACACTTTACAAGAATAATGCCCACAAGCTGCCTAAAAAGGGATGATGTAAAATTTTAATTTTAGGTGACTTCTGATCCAGAGAGTAAACATTAATTTTTTTCAACCAAAGCCAAATTCGCGATCGAAAAAAACTGAATTTAATTCAGCTAATAGATACGTTCACACAACATTTAATAGGTATTTAATAATTCAGAGGCGATACGAAGTTCGCCGGGTCAGCTAGTTCAATTATAAAATCATCATACTACTAAATCGAGATGAAAAGTATTTAAATTATTGGTATCAACTATCAAGAGATTAGGAAGCTAACTTGAGACTTAGAACCCGAAACATTGAAGTAAACTTTATCTCTGGGGGACAGAAATTGAACTTTTTATCGAGATTTGCATTAAGCGTGAATGGGTGTGAAAAATGATTGCGGAAACTGGCACTTTCAATAAAGTTAGTATAATGTTATAATTACATTAAATAGTCTGTATAAATTGACCTACCTGAAACAAGTTGACATAGGCCCCTCTAAAATGCCTGTTCAACATCCCGTACAGAATGCTGTTGATGCACGACTTGCTGATCGCCAACCATGCCAAATTATAGAACACTTTTCCAGACACTTTGTTCACGTTGTCTATGGCCAGGATGACTCCGAAAGGTACCCAGAACAACAAAAACGTAACGAAACTGTACATGTTGGTTTGTGCAAGGGCGCAGTCCCAACTGAAAGTGATCGGCGCTTTATGGTTGGGTCTCGATTTGAACTTTCTGACTTGATATCCTGTACGTATGTAACAAAATAGAGTTACCGACAATGGAAAAAATACGAAAATTGCGCATACGGTCGCTTGGTAGGGTATCAGTCCCAGGTCGTTTCTTGTGCAATAATCGAAGGATAATTCGGCGTAGAATTGCATCCCCGATATACATCCGCAGGTGGTCCATATGCTTAGCAATAGGAATGTTATTTTTCTGGAAAAAAAAAGTATTTGTGAAGGGTCTTGAAAATGTCTATGCTTGAAATTCATATTTCTTGCCTGTTGCGTTTGATATATGAGGCTGGCATAATCATTGTATCAAATTTCAAAAGCAAAGGCGTTTATTATTTTAGGAATTCTTTCATACAAATTATATTTTCTTGAAAGCTTCAAAAGAAATGAACATCCAGTTTAGGCTTAGACGTTTGAACACAAAATTTCTCTTTGCCGATTTTTTTCTTTTCAATATAATTCCATAATATCATGCACAGCCAACCTTAGTATAGCTCCTGTTAGAATAAAGATATAAGAATTACCTACAAAATCAATGTTTTTTTTTTGGGGTAGGTTAATTTTTTGGAAGTTCTCCATCTCCTGAGTTATTGATGAGCCCGTAAATACTTACTCGTAGCTCGTAGTTGGAATACAGATAATAGATAGGTAGGTACCTACTTATTAAATAATTTCCGCATTCAATATTTCAACCAGCTAAATTTAGAATTGACTGAAGAGGATAGTTTTTACACTAATAGTACCTAGATTTTCCCTTTAGAAGGAATTTTCCTCAAATTATGTTTTTATGCTAACAAAACTATAAAAATAATCTCTTACCTTTTGGTAAGCTTGTGGTAAACATCAATAGAATAACACAGCCTGAAATAGTTTTCCCAAGCGATAGCGGTCAGCGATAGTACGGTCACTAGGAAGCACCAGGCAGCTATAAACCATTGGAACTTGCATACGGCCAAATTGTCTTTGAGGCCTGCTAGAATCACTATTGCCGATGCCGGTATCACTAGGCCGGTCACTAGAAGATCGGCCAGGCCGACGTTTACCAGAAAAGTGTTACCTGATGAATAAATAACAAATTTGGGATTAGTGGGAGAAATTAAAGAAAATGCGTTTTAAAGAGGGATTATTTAAAAAAAAATGTAAATCTATTAAGTTCTATATCTATACCTAAATCTAGTATAAAGCCCAAATTAACTGTACCAAGCTGTGAACTATAAATTTGCCAAAGTTGATGTGCACCAATGACGTGCACAAAACATTTTCTAGAAAACTTAATTTTGTGTCAAAACGTTACGTTTTATTTTTCATTTTAGCGGACGAGCCTGTTGCTCGGTCATCATTGGCCATGAAAAGAAAATGAGGTAAGTGTCAGAAAACGGTTGGAAATTGGGTAGAATAGGGTTGAAAAAAGTGGGTAAGTCATTAAAGAAAATATTTCCAATGAGGCAGACATTTTATAGATATTTAGCTTTATGTCAAACAACTTTTTCTTATAATTAACCAAAGACGGGTTGCTCTCAAATTTCTATTTTATTAGGATAGGATTATCCTTGAGAGCAAAATGTTTAAAGCCCTGAATCAATATTTTATTTTGTTCTTGGATATAAATTTATGTAATTTCGATGTCAAATAACGCCATTATTCTCAATATAAACGCATTCGAACTGAATAAACTGGGAAGCCAAATCATAAATTAATGCTCAAATTGAACCTTGGAACTTGGAAACGACTTAGGAACCCGCAATTATAGGCATGAAGTCTATCAAAATCACTTTAGACTCTGTAAATGTAAATAGTTTGAAAACACTCATTGATACTATTGATAGGGTTTCGGGTTTCGACTAAGTTATTATTGTTTTGCTAGAAGAAAGCCAATTAGATAATACCTATCATTCCTGATAAATTACATAATATGTAATGACTATTTCACTAGAGTGTTTTACACTGGCAAAATGTCATATAGTCCGAGAGCTGGCAGTAAAAACAACTACCTCATAGGTTACCAGAGGGATGAATTGACATGTCGGTACTACCTCACATGGTGATTTCAAAACCGTCCGTCTGCCGGGCGTAAGTGGTCGCTTTATTAGATTTATTTTTTTCTGAAAAGTCAAAAAAACGCCATCAACTACCTCATAGGTTACCACTGTTATTTTTGTGTCAAAACATTACCAAATATGTAACTAACCAAAGTTAAAAAAGAAAACCCTGGCAGACGGTCGCATTCAAATCGCAGACGGGTTTAAATAGTCCAGTAAATGCGTGCTTAAAACTGCCGTTTTCGTAAAAAAAACTGCGAACATTTTTTTTTCAACCGTTTTATATGTTTTTGAGGGTGCTGAAATCGAATTTATGGTTTGCTGCCTTGTAGGAGGTCGGCTTCATAGCCAAAAACGCAAAAAATCTTAATTTTTCAGTACTTTTTTCAGTTTTTGGCTTATATCTCAAAAACTATACGTTTTTTGAAGATGAGCGTTCATTACAAAATTGAAGTAAATAAAATTTCCTATGAAATGCACTAGTCGTCTTTGATTTTATGATAAGCGGTCTTAGCGCTAGTGCTCAGTGAAATACAATGTTTTTTTGTATTTTCACAAAAATGTCTAAAACACCCACTTTCATTCCCCGCAACCCAAGAAATATCGGGTCATCAAAAAAAAAAACAATCAAAGATTGCTTTGGTTACGAAAACGTACGTCGCATTATTGTTTCTTCATTGGTCAGGATTTTTGACATGACATTTTGACATTAAAGTTCATTGACAAAATTTAAAAAAAATATTGCGTTTAAAAAACTATAGCAATCTTCGATTGGTTTTTTTTTTTTGAAGACCCGATGTAATATGTTAATAGATCCTTTTATCACGTGCGAGTACATTAAATATCAGCAAAAAGATCTCTGCCATATTTAATTTTCTCCTAAAGATTTTTATGAGAACCATTTTTCAAATAAATTACATGGCAAGCCATGTTTGATGAAAACATTAAGAAATTATATTTACAATTTATTCGGTAGTTACATTTAACTGGAAATAAAGCACAGGATCATCATTCCTTTGAGTGGGTCCTCCATCTGAAAAACAAAATAAGGCAGAAGATGAGTATACTATAGGTTTAGTTTTGGGTCGTCCGCTAGAAGGTCCAGGTTAAGGGCTTAAAGCAATCGAAGGTCCAGACAAAGAGTCAGTAGCTGTGGAAGGTCCAGGCTAAATACTAAATTGTGGCTGTTCTTCCACTGAAAAAAATATAACCTACATTGAGAAGTGTAAACTAAACTTCTGTTTCTATTTATTACTTATTTAGTTTTGGGTCGTCCACGAGAAGGTTCAGGTAAAGGGTTTTGGGCAATCGAAGGTCCGAACAAAGAGTCAGCAGCTGTGGAAGGTCCAGGCTGAAAACTAAATTGTGGCTGTTCTTTCACTGGAAAAAATATTACCTACACTGAGAATGAGTACAAAGTGTACAGAGTGTAGTACAAAAAAAACTAAGCGAAAATGCATGTAATGAAGCAAAATATTATATAAATTAGTACCTTCTGTCTCTTTAGCCGCTTCACGCAGTGAAACTGGAATTGGCTCATCCAGCGATAATCTTTGAGGAAGTTGATGGCGTTTTTTTGACATAATAATTGACACCGTCTGCTCCGAAATAGTGATCACTTCCAACGGCAGACCTTTACGATTTCAATTTAGTTAAGATCTTAGGCGATTTTCTGGTACCCCACTTCACTTCTCTGGATCCAAGTAGTTTCCTATCCACTGCTGCACCTGATGAAAAAACCCTAAGGGCTTGTCATTGAGAGGCAGCTTCAGGGGAAGGTGAGAAACTACTTGGATCCAGAAAAGTGGTGTTGGAAGTTGACAAAAAATGAGTTGTTCCCCATTACCACACCAAAACCACCGGCTCCCGAAAAACTTCTCCAGCTTATATCTTGCAAATGCAAGGCAGGTTGCCTAGGTCAATGTGGGTGTAAGCAGACAGGACTGTTCTGCTCCACTCCAACATCGGCGATAGTTGTGATGCAGAAGGCGAACGCGATCTGATGAGCCAATCGGCTGAAGAGACAGAAGGTATTAATTTATATAATATTTTGCATCATTACATGCATTTTCGCATAGTTTTCTTTAGTATTACACTTCTCAATGTAAGTAATATTTTTTCAATTGGAAGAACAGCCACAATTTAGTATATTCAGCCTGGACCTCCCGCAGCTGCTGACTTTTTGTCTGGACCTTCGATTGCTTAAAACCCTTCACCTGGACCTTCTAGCGGACGACCCAAAATTAAACCTATAGTATACTCATCTTCTGCCTTATTTTGTTTTTCAGATGGAAGACCCACTCAAAGGAGTGATGATCCTATGCTTTATTTTCAGTTTAATGTAACTACCGAATAAGTTGTAAATATAATTTCTTAATGTTTTCATCAAACATGGCTTGCCATGTGAATTATTCGAAAAATGGTTTTCATAAAAATCTTTATGAGAAAATTAAATATGACAGACATCTTTTTTATGAAATATGTACTCGCACGCGATAAAAGAGTCTTTTAACATATTGTCGCGACTTTGAATCGCCGGACAGAAATCTTGGGTTCGTCGTTCGTTTCGTTTATTCCAAAAATCAAAGTCCAATTAACACAGCAATAATTTATTCCACTTAACAAAACACTCTGACACTAATTACTTTACTAACTCAACAATTAAACTCTTTACAATCACTATTTAAATCGTATCACAGTCGAACTGAAACTAACTTACAAACCAATGCCGGCCTTCTTATATATCCCTAAATCTATTCCTGTGAAATCTAGAATACACACGATAATCTAATTTTCCAGATTAAAGTAGAATAATTCGCTAGATTCTAGATTTCCGCCATCGATTCTTGACAGCCTGGCGGACGCCGTTTTTCTGGCGTTAACGATTTCGTAGCAATATTATATTTCTTGGGTTGCGGGGGATGAAAGTGGGTGTTTTAGACATTTTTGTGAAAATACAAAAAAAAAAATAGTATATTGTTGTATTAGGAGTAGAAGCGTTACTTTTATGTGCTGAAGCAGTAGGTTTGCGAGCCGAACGTAGTGAGGCTTGCAATACTGCTGAAGCACAAAAAAGTGCTTTTACTCCGTATGCAACACGCTATTTTTTCTCCAAACTAATGGGGTAAGCTCGGAGGCAAGTGAATGGTTGAGCAGCAGTAAAAGTACGAGCGGCACTAAAAGTACTTTTGCTGACGCTAAGGTTGCCAAGCAGCATAGAAATTAAACTTCTACCACCTCGACAGGTGTTAACACGTTGGATTTGCCCGGCAGCATAGAAATCAAATTTCTGACATCTTGACAGGGGTTAACAAAGTGACGTTTTTTTGAGGTTTGGAGAAAAACATTGTTTTTCACTGAGCAGTAGCGCGGAGACCGCTAATCATAAAATCAAAGACGACTAGTGCATTTTCTAGGAAATTTTATTTACTTCAAATTTGTAGTGAACGCTCATCTTCAAAAAACGTTTATTTTTTGAGATATAAGCCAAAAACTGAAAAAGTGCAGAAAAATTAAGATTTTTCGCGTTTTTCGCTATGAAGTCGACCTCCTACAAGGCAGCAAACCAAAAATTCGGTTTCAGCACCCTCAAAAACATATAAAACCGTTGAAAAAAAAATGTTCGCAGTTTTTTTACGAAAACGGCAGTTTTAAGCACGCATTTACTGGACTATTTAAACCCGTCTGCGATTTGAATGCGACCGTCTGCCAGGGTTTTCTTTTTTAACTTTGGTTAGTAACATAAACTAAGCGGCAGATGAAGTGGGACACCCGAAAAATTGCCTAATTTTGACTTGCTATAACTTCGACATTTCTTTGCCGATCTTTGATTATCAGGCAGGGTTACAAAGCGCCATCTTTGGTCTATGCGTCAGTGTCGTCGTAGATTTTTTTAAAAAAATCCGTCTCGTTATACAGGGTGTGAATGTAAGGCGGCGAAAAATTTCCATTTTTTTGCGAAGAATATGGGAAAGATGGATGGACCAATAAAGTTCTTTCTAGTGGTGACTCGTGACTC